AAGTGTCCCCTGTATATTTAGGGTGATGCATATCCTTTTTTTTGGAGTGAAATTAAAATAATTGGTTTCCTCTGTGTACTGTGAATGGGGCAACGATGTGGTTCTTGCCTAGCTGAACTAGTGAAGGTGAACCCCCCCCTCCGAGGTGTGGTTAGAGAAGGTGCCCCTAAAGGCCTAGGTTGCAGCACAGATAAGGTCGTTGCCGCCTTCTGGGGTCACTAAGCTACATCAGCTCAGTGCATCTGTTCCTAGCGTGGTTAGTACATTGCAGGGTCTGAGAGCTGTCAATCTATTTCCATGCCCAACACCCTGTGTCTGAGCTGGGCCGCTGCCGGCAGAAGAGCCCCCAATTCTGCCATCCTCACACCGAGACAGGTCTTGCCTCCTCGTTCCCTCATTTTTAATCGTTTCCCCCCAAAAGGAGGCCGTGGGGCCAATCTGCCGCCAGTTTGGGCAGTGTCCCCTCCCGGCGGCATGGCCTGGGCGGGCGGGAGACGGGGCGGCGTGGCTCCTCCTCAGCCTTCCTCCCGCCCGCCGAGACCCTCAGGACTGGCGCTTCCCTCTTTTGGGGGGAGCAGCGCGGGGCCCGCCATCCCGCGGCAGGTGGGGGGGAACCCGAGGGAGTGACCGGGGGGGAAGTGGCTGCAAGGCCCTGAGATGGGGGGGGGAGTGATGGGGGGCAGGCGGCTCCCCAGGGACCCCCGGGGGTTCCCGAGTCTGTACCACTCGGCGGCTGCCCTGGGGAAGCCCCCGCCCCGCGGCACGTTCGGGTTCCCCAGCACAAGAACCGAGGCCCGGAACTAGAGCCCCGCTCCCGCCATCCATCCCCCGGCGCCCCAGCCCAGGCGAGGATGCCCGGGCACCGAGCCCGCCTTGACCCGGGACGTGTCACAGCCCCGCGGCCCACCGCCTCTGAGACGGGGACAAGTCAAACCTCCCACCGCTGCGGCGGCGGCGGCTCCTCAGCCCCGTTTCCCCCCCCGGTCCGGCCACAGTACCTGGGCGCTGCTCCCTCCGCGCGAACCGCGGCCGGTGAGTGACTCTGGGCGGCTACCGCGCTTGCCGGGTACTTTTAAAAACTTTGAATTTGGTATCCAAAATCCCGGCGGCCAATCAGGTGCCGCCCCACGAGCTCGGCCGCCAATAGCGGGGAGGTTGTAAACGGCGGCCAATCCCGGGCCTCGCGCTGAGCCCCGCCTCCCTCGTATTTTCCCTCTTTTGAGGGAGAAGAGCGAGGCAAGCGCGAGCCCGCGCCATGGGCGTGTCCAAAAGCAGGGAGGGAGCCTGGCAGCGCGCGCGCGCTCTCTTCAGGGGTGGACACGTGGAGCGCGGGAGAGAGAATGCGGCGCCGCTCCAGAAGCGGTGGCGGCTTTTCTGAACCTCCTCATTGCCTCCCTGCGTCCCAGCGCTCGCACTGCTCCATATAGTCACCCCGCGCCTGGGTTCTCTGCACTGGCTGTGCGGATCACTTTTTCAGGGAAAAGTATTTACTGCAGAGGACTGGGACATGCGGTTGCTACTGAGGTTTAGTTCTAAGTTCTCTGACCATGGGTAAATCATTCCCCCATCTTTGTGTCGCAGTTTCTCCAATCTATAACGTCGGGGTACTTGTACCCCATTGGCAGCCTGTAGGGCGGCCTACCACCTATGTAAACTCCTTGGGAACATCCCAAGGGAGATGCGGAAATGAAGATCATGCCAATGTGCTAGCAGAAGTAGAGCAGGCTCCTGTTAACCATAAGCTGCAGTGTAGTCTACTCCCACTGGAATGCTACACAATGCAGAATTAATATTCTCTGCAAAATTTTATTTTTTCCTGCAGAATTTCTTCCCCCCTCGTCCCCACCACCAGCACTCCCTGGCAGAGGCAGCTGGGGCTCCCACAGCCAGAGAGCCTAGGTCTGAGAGCTGGAGCATGATGATACTGTGTTATTCTGACAAATAAGATGTGCTGAATTTTAAAATATTTGGTGCAGAATTCCCCTAGGTGTAATATTCCCTGCAAATTAATGTTTCCTGCCCCTTTATATGTTATGCCATTTAATTATTCCCTTGAACTACAGGAGCTGCAGTTTCACTTACCCTTTGCTGTGGTTTGGTTTATGTTATGTTGTCAGGTTCCAACCTTCTCCCTCACCCCCAGTTGTGAGCTGACCAAAGTTCTTCAGTAACCTCAAATATTCAGTGTCACCTAGACAATAGTGGAACAGAGTTTAGCAGGCAGAATCCTGACGCAGCACTGGCTTGTCTAGCACTTCTAGGCTGCACAAAATATATTTAACAAGGATCCTCCATGTGAGCAATGTGGGATTTACTTTATTTGGAGGAAGGAGAGGACGAAACAGGTTGCCATGCTGCCCCCATAATAAAACCAAAAATCCACTTGCTTTAGACTCTGCTTGACTGGCTACTAAATAAATTTCCAAGGCTATTAGAACAATGGCAATGCTTATTCCTTTAAATACTTCTGGTCTATAAGATGCTCAGTTGCAGTGGAGAAGCAATTCAGGATTAAGTCCACCATCTGCATAAGACAAGAGTCCAGGTCTAGAACTAAGCAGCAGCAAAGGACACTGGCTGTGGCCAAAGGTCTAGCTGGCAATGGAGGACATACTGTCCACATGGGCAACTGTTAGGTTTAAATAAGCCCTTCTCTTTCCAGCAGCCATTTTGTTCCCTAAGTGATCCTGTATTCTGACCTTAGTCAGAATGGCAGGGAGGTGATTTTAAGAACTCAAGAACTTGAAGAGAATGGGGGTTGCACTTACAGATACATAATCTGACCGTAAACTTCTGATTTTCCATATAAATATATCAAAATTGTGAAGAGTAGGGCTCCATTCTTGCAAAAAGTGGTGCAGATACCTAACTGAGTGTAAGTACTCCCATGACTTCAAAGGAACTAATTTAACGGGTAAAGTTAAGCTTGTGCATCACTGCTTTACAGAATAGAGCTTAGTACGAAGACCAGCATACAGGATCATCTTAGGAAACAAAATAGCCTCTGGAAAGCCAGGTTTAAATGAGCCCTTAATTTTATACAAAGAGCTTGTATATTTATTGGTTCAAACTAGAGAAGCAAGTAAATGTAAGATAATGGAATGTAGATATAAACTTGATTATATTTCGTTTTATAATTGCATTCCTTAATTTACAACACATTAAATTACATTTTATATATACTTTATTGAATTTATGCTTTTTATAAGCAAACTCCTGCTAAGTTTGTTGCAAATACTAACTTATTTTTATTCTAATATGTTATGGTGATTTTGTTAAATAGAAGTCGGAAGTAAATATTTTTACCCGTAGCAAATTTTTTCCTCGTTATATGACTCAGTTGTTGCCCTATAGATGTTATTATACATGCAATACATGATGGTATGATCTGGTATAAAGATTGTGCTGAGAGAGAGAGTGTGTGTGTGTGTGTGTGTGCATGTGGTCACAATTGTTTTCTGTGTGTGTGGACAGTCACAATTGCTTTCAGTGTTTGCATACCCAAATATAAATGTAATGTTTCTCATTTATCCTCTGTTTTAACCACACAAAAAATACCAGCATATCAGAAAGGCAGAATTTTTCTTTACATAAATCATGATTTGTTCCTATACCTGATACTGAAATAAGATTCACCCCTCTATAATTTCCAGGATTACCTATACCACCTTTAGAAAGACAGACTCAAATATAATTGCTACCTTCCAGTTCTCCAGTACAGTAGCTGATTTTAAGGAGAGAACAAGTATTTTTGTTATCAGCTAAGATACTTTATATTTAGTTGGCATTTGCCTTACACTTGCAAGAATTGCCATCTTTAATGACACTGGCAGGACAATTTGCATTGCCATCCCCAGGCTGGACCATTCTGAGTAAAGGACTTCAGATCTCCAGGGCTGCTAATGTAACACTTACGCAGCAATGATTAATCAGCACAACAATGTATAGAGACAATAAAAACTCCACCTTTAAAACTGAGATTAGCATCTTGCTGAAGGTTACAGAAAACAGTCTAGTCACCATTAGTTTTCTAATAGCATATAACCTTGATATGACTGATAAAAAGAGGAAAGCAAGAAACAGAAGATCTGAAGTTCAGGCTTTAAGAAAGTACATCCAAAATCCACAAAAAAGGAACATGGGCATTGCAATACTGAGCCTAGCTTTCAGATGCCTTGAAAATCACTGGAACCACAAAGCCTATGTTAGGTGCTTAGGCTCCCTATACAATGCATGGGGAGAGAGAGCACTGGAAAATGGGATCCACGAATGTCAGCAAGCTAGGCACGGTAGGAAATGCTGATGAGAAAGGTGTGTCCTAAACCCGGTCATCTCAGGTGCCTGTTAAAGTTCAGTGCCTAAATCTGGTCTGCAGGGAGGCACCTATTTCTACTTGTGATCCACAACCAGGAACCCCTCTCTTGGAGTCAGGTGACTTAGGTGCCTAAGACATTTTCACAAGAAACAGTTTAGGTGCCTGTCTCACTCCACACAAAATGGCTGTGGGGAAGAGGGGGTCTCCTTTGTAGTTTTTAGCTCAGTGCTTGAGGTACTCAGTTGAGATATGGGAGACCCTAATTTAAATTCCCCCCTTTGCCTGATGAGAAGGGATCTGAATAGGGGTCTCCCACCTCTCAGGTGAGTACCTTAGCCACTGGACTATGGAATATTTTGATGTAGGTCTCTCTCAATCTCTCGTTGAATTCATTTTAAGATAATTAAATATTAATTAGTCCAGAGACAGAAACAGAGTCTTTGTATAGTCAAGTGGCTAGGTCACTCACCTGAGAGGTAAGAGTAGCCCACTCACAGTTGAGCACCCTAACCACTGGCCTAAATGTTATAAAAGGGAGGCTCCCTGCATCCTTGGCTTTATACTGTATGGAATAGATTTTTATGCTCAGATGAAGCCTAGAACTAGAAGCAACTCAGTTTTTCTGCATACCTTTTGAGAGTAGAGCAGCAATGTCCTCAGGTGAGAAAGTAAAAACTGCAATCACTTCAAACTCAATCATATTTACTTTAGATTTTCTACACTGTAGTCATCTCATACACAAGTCTATAGTCTTCTACTCCAGCAAGTAGGAAAAACTGTTTAGCAGTCATGAAGAGATAAATTAATCCTTTTTGATGATCTGAAATGCAGTTTACACCTCCTGTGTGATGCTCCAGCAAACAGCCATGCAGCTAATTTGTGTCAGGGTAGCCATATCTGTCATTACAGGGCTTAGCAAAGAACAAAGTTCAGGTCAGATTTGTTTTTACATTTTCTGAAATAATTTCCATTAAAGTTTCATAATCAGCATATTCCCTCAGGGATGTTATCATTTCATCTAGCAGTTCTTCCCCTAACATAAAACTTTCAATATGATGCACTGTTTTGTTTATCCTGTGGTCAGTTACACGATCCTGTGGAAAGTTGTATGTTCTGATCTTCTCGGATCTTCCTTTGGTCCCAATCTACCACATAAGAAGAATCAGTTTATTATCATGGTATTCTTTTTAAGCATAGAATAATATACTGGTTAAGCATTTGAACATCAGTTGTTTACTTCCTAATGGAAATACACAATATTCATGACAGAGATTTAGTAATAGGATTAACCTACAGACCTGTTCACTATAGCTATGGCTAAGAAAAACAAGTTGCTAGAATTCTTAGATCATATATATTATATATGTATGAAGAACTGTAGTGTTCTTATAGTTACTACAAACCTATATGAAGTGCTAGAGTAGCCATCACTGGATAAGAAATGTGCTGTATCCTATTGCAAAGCCTTAAGTTTTTCCTTTCTAATGGCACATAGTTTCTAATTGCGATGGGTTATCAGACATCAGACCTTTACCCCGTCATTGACCCAGGACTGAATATTGTCCATCATCTACCTGAGATATTTTTCAGGTATGTTAATTTAAAAAACAAAGTCAACAGTTTGAAAGCTATTCAGAGATTTAATATGCGTAGTACTATGTCCTGATGGAACTAGATGAGTAGTCAAAAGTGCAGAATGCGTGATCATGCTGCTATTGACATTACATGCATGGTAGATAAGTTTTTTTCAATCCCTGTGTATGACAGCTAGCTCAATGTGTAAGATTACTAGCCAGGGTGAAAAATACCTGTGCCACCAAGCCCTACCCAATCCTTATGCACTGCAATTTAATGGAATAAGACAGCAGTTCTCAAATTGTGAGTCAGGACCCCATTTTAATGGGGTTGCCAGGGCTGGCTCAGACTTGTTGGGGGCCAAAGCCTGAGCCCCACTGACTGGGACTGCAGCCAAAACCCAAGGGCTTCAGCCCTGGGTGGGTGGCTCAAGTTACAGGCCCCTGTCTGGGGCTGAAGCCCTTCAGCTCCCCCCCCCCCCTCCCCGGGACAGTGGGGCTCGGGCTTTGTTCCTGTCACCGGGGGGCAGCTGGGCTCAAGCTTCAGTCCCCCCTCCTGATGTCATGTAATAATTTTTGTTGTCAGAAGGGGGTCGCGGTGCAATGAAGTTGGAGAACCCCTGGAATAAGACATTTGTGCACTGCATTTAACTATAATATATAGCAATTAACTTTCTTTTTAATCTAATTTTAAAATGTAATTTGCTATCAGCAGCCCCACATGCACAGAGCTATTCATTTGCAAAGTAAATCCTACCTGAATCTTTCTGGCATTGTATCTCTTGGTTGTCTCTTCTTCTACTTTGATGTTGTATAGTTTAGCACGAAGCATCTGCAAAGCCTTCTCTTTATTTTTGATTTGAGATCTCTCTTGTTGACATTCAGACACTACACCTGATTACAGCAAAAATGTAATCAGATTTAACATTTAATAAGAATAAACAAAAATATTGTTGTGATTGCATCTTCAATGGAGATTATTTTTATTTTAAAAGTAAAAACAAGCTACTACCTTCTTTACCACGTTAAGGGAGGCAAAAAAATAAAAGCCAAAATCTATAATAGTTAAGGATGCGATTTAATCAGGGAGGTCACGGATTCTGTGATTTTAATAGAGCTCCGTGACTTCTTCGGCTTCAGATTCAGCCCTGCTCCAGCTTAGGCTTCAGTCTCGCTGTAACCATGCCCTGATTTTTTCCTTTTTGTACTATGACAATTCTGTGAATTTTGCTTAATTTTACTGTAACAAAATTGTATCCATAGTAAAAGTTTAGCCTGAGATTCAGATTAGGGTTGAATTGCGCAGGTCCTTTACCACACACACAAGATGTTTAAATTTATAATTGAATATGATACGCTATAGGGAGTCTGTGGAAGAAGAGATGAGTGATGTAATCTGATTCACTGGTGTGGAAGATAATCTTAGCATCTATGTTTTGCATGATCTTGATTAATGAAATTTTGAAATTAGGGAGGCCAGGGAAGAAGAGGCTGCAGTAATCAATGTGGGAGAATCAGGGTGGGACAATTATTATTATAGCACCACACAAATGTATGCTAAACTCTTCTGCCATAAAAAGACATGGTCCCCACCCCAAAAGCTTACAGTCTAAGCTGAACAAGGAGCAAGAGGTGTGAGTAATGAATACCGGGAAGAGAAATAAGCTGGTGGGAATACAGGGGTTGCAAAATAATTTCATATAATTTCTTGGATTTGTTTATATATCTATCTTGCTGGCTCTGATAAGATTGTGTTTTTAATACTGATTGTTTATAACATAGGTTAAAAACTATAATTTTTTTTTCTGTAACCATAAGGTAGTGTGAATGGAGCTGATATGATAGGAATAATGGAAGTGGGAGAAAAGGAACATGAAAGGAGGAGGTGTGATGTAGACAGGCACAAGAGGAAAGAAGAAACGAAATGGTATAGGAAAAGATCAAGAGATGAGGTGTGGCATAGCATGCAGATCAGATAACAGTTCATTAGCTCATATAGCAACCAATGTAATTGGTTGCTGAAGTCCAACATCTTGGAGTGTAAGTCTAACGTTAAGAAAACAGTGACTGTAAAGATATGATGCTGCTGCTGTTCTGGTTCCCAAGGGAACTGGGATATTTAATGCTCTTCGGGGACTTGGCTTCCTATGTGCGTGTTCCAATGTTCAGTGGAGGATGAAGTGAGGCTTAAGAAGATCTAAAATGCCCATTGCTAGATGGGACAAGTATTTTAGTAATCAGAACAGAGTAATAGTTGTCCTCTTCTGTAAAATAAGTGGTAATATTCTGGATACGTTGGGAGAAGGAGGAGTAAGAGATGACTGATGTTGCAAGACTGCTGGCAATGGGAGAATAGAGGGAGCTCAAATAAAAGGGGATGCCAAAATAATGAGAGAAGAATGGAACCTTTGAAAGAGATATCTGAGAGGTCGGAGGAGAATCTGGACCCGTCACGGCTATGAGAACCAAGGGAAAACAAGGTGTTGAACACTGGAGTGATCAGCAATACTGAAGCTGCAAAAAGATCAAAGAGGAGAAGATAACAGAGATTCTGGAATTTGTCTCTGATGATATGTTGGAGATGTTGGTGAGAGCAGTTTTGGTGGAGGTGAAGAGAGGAAGCTAATAAGAAGGGTCCAAAAGGATGCTGGATGAGGGGAAGTCAAGGCAGCTGTTGTAGATGGCACACTAAAAGAGCTCAGAGGTGAGTAGAAAGAAGATTGCGTGGCATTTAAGGGCATTTGAGGATGAAGATACGAGAGCATACCTGTATGCTATGAGGAAGGAGCCAGAAGACAGATGAAAGTCAATAGCTGAGAATGGGAGACAGGTGGAGGAGTTGCAGTTAACTGCATTAAGGTAGCACCAATGCACTTCAGTTAGGAGCGGGGCCCCACAGCAATAAGTATAGTGTTAAATGGAGAAAGACACTGCCTGCTTCAAAGAGCTAACATCATAATGCTAAGTAGAAAAGGAGATACTCTGTTCTCCAGATGCTGAGGGGGGAAGGGGCGAACCACCAAACACAACTGTTCAGTGGGTCTCAAGCTGGCTCCTGAAGATCTGTCTTCTACTGCCTCTCATCCTTTTTTCAGCTGCTAAATTGCATTAAAAAACTAAAAATATAAATTTTCCATATAAGCAACTGCTGCAGTTGTCTCAAGGACGTTATTGTGAATAAAAAGGGAGATGGTTTAATGAACTGGATTGTAAAAGGAGGTGGTCTGCAAAACTGTGAATGGGGGAAGAAGTGGTCGACAAGACACTTTATATTAATGAGTTATGAAAACATTTGAGAATGGAACTCTAGTGTCTTCAAGGTTTCAGAATAAGCTAGAATTGTGTCAAAAGCAACAGAAATTGATTTGTGTGATAAAATTATCATTGCTAACTAAGAAGAGGTAAAACTCCAAGTATAGAGTACTGTACTTCCACTCTCAAGCAAATCATTGTCCTAATAGTCTACCCTGCTTTTAAGCACTACTTCTCTTTATATGTAAAATTTAATAAACATGGAAAGTGATAAACTGTAATCAAGAGGATTGTAGGCACCCCAATCTTCAGTTCCAACACTCTAATAATTTAGTACTGGACCTATGAAGCAGAAGCCACCAGGTATGCCAAATGGGATAGTGGTTTTGTACTGTGGAGAAATGTCCACTGAGATCTAAATTTGGATGTAGTTTTATAAAGTTTGTAGAAATGAATGGTTATTTCATTAACCCTTTCCAAAACCCTTATCCCATAAGGATTTTACAATATTAAATTACATGATTTTTTGTCTTCCAGTACTGAAAATTGTTCTTACAAAGAGAATGAAGAAGTAGGAGGAGAACATAGGTAGAATTATTTAGCTTTTTGACCTTTCAACCTGATAAGATATCTGCATTTTAGTTATGACAATAGTTTTACATTGTAGATCCTTTATTAGGAGTAACTTTTAGGTACCTGTTGGAATATGAACTATCCGTACAGCACTGTCAGTTGTATTTACATGCTGGCCCCCAGCTCCACTGGCTCTCTTAGTTTCAATTTGTAAATCTTTAGGATTAATTATCAGATTGATCTATGATAGGGAAGAAAAAAAAAAAACCACACACATCTTTGTTTTTCCTTTCTAGACAAATGACAGTTATTTTTAATATAAAAACTTGGATATTTTTTAAACAGTATATTTCAGTAGGAGATCAAAACCATTTTAAGTTCATGAGGAGTGTGATGCAATAACCAAACAGTTTCAGAAAGCACAATACAGTCCTGGTGATCAGATTGCAGTGCAAGCTCCTGTGAGGCAAAGATCAATACAAAGTTTTAATTCTCAGCTAGTTCAGGGTTGTTAGCTCAGCAAACCCCTGATGAGAACAAAATTCTCAGCAAATCATTTTAGGAGGAGGAAAATATGGAATTTAGAGAGAATGCATAGGTAAATGAAATCTCTAAGTTCCACATTTTTTTGTTCCAGTTTTTTTTGTCACTGTGTCAGAGATAC